CGATATTTTTCGTCCACATTACTTCTTGCGAAATAAAATCTACACATAAACCTTGATAAAGGAATGAAATACTTTCATATAGAAAATCTTTCCTTTTATCTTTTCTTACATATATATATATATATATATATATATATATATATATATAAAATGAAGAATTGGTTGAAAATGCTTGGGATAGTAATAACTAAGGGACAATTTATAGAGTTTCTTAGTCTTAAAAGGAAAACTGTAAGGACACTAGAAATTTATTTTTAAAAATGATAAAATGTTCCTCGTCAGTCACGTTCAATTAAACATGTATAAATGAGGATTGCTACCCAAATTATGTCTATATATCATTTATTTATGCAACAACTTATGCCGAATGTTGCCGCATCTGTACAAGAGTATGTAAGGCCCTAGCAGAACTAGAAAACCATATCTGCTCTGTCCTTATTTGAGGACGGGGTATAGCTTGAAATCGAGTCGTAGCTATCATGTCTACGTATATGTATATGCCAGACTGGCTTAGATATGGACGTATAGATATATCTGAAGAATTTGTTGTTTTTTTTGTGTTGTCATTGTAATAGACAAAAACAAGATCGCTTTTTTTTCTTCTTCAATCAGAAGGACGGGTAAAAAAAGCCTTTGAAAATGGAAAATCGAAAAAGAAAGAAAAAAAAAACCTTTCAAGATTATTTTCCTTGAAAATTATGATTTCGCTTTCTTGAGTCACATATTTTCATACTGGTTTCCGCTTTGATTTTATTTACCGGAAGTGAGTCGAGAAAATTATGCATTCGATAACCATTCATACCTTTGATATGCACGAAAGCATTTGTGGTAATACTCAGAAAGCGTTTAATAAACCTTACAAATTGATGTATTGATGGTAATTTTTAAAAATATATGTATTGCTGGCAATTTCACTACAAAAATGTACTGTCATACTTTTTTTAGTGCTGTATTGATAGTCGTTTTACTATAGAAATATATTGCTGGTACTTTTAATATAAAATGTACCATTGAGTTCTGTTTTGAAGTTCCCAATTTTCCCATAGCTGGAGCCCTAACACGTGCTACAACTCCTGGTGAGGGTGGACCTGGGGACACCATCAAGAGGTGGTTCAACGCTCCTCAAAACCTCCTGATCAGAGTCCTTGATGCCGGATGTAGTTTATCGTCTTACACAAGACGGCAGAAAACGGTAAAGAAGTTTGATAAGACCCGAAAGAACATGCCTATCAAACTGTTAATAAAATAACAAAATCAGGAAAAGGCATTCTTGGTTTTAAAACGACAATAAACAATAGCAACAAACAATAGAACTTATGGGGATTAAATAGAAAAGATGCCACAGACATAAAAATAAAATCTGATTTCTCCGATCCTCTCGAAATCATACAAAAAATAGCAAAAATTTCTTAAATCAACGGAATCGATTATCGATTATAATGGCTTCTGAAGGCTGAAATAGTCAATGTAAAACTTTTCTATTTTGTTTTACATTTTGATATGTCCCGGAAAGAGATATATTTGTTCCAAGTAGCCAAGTGATTGTTCGTTACTGTAACCGGGTAGGACAATCTAGCAGGTAACCGTAATGGACTGGTCCTCGTCGTAGTGGTAGGCAATAGGCGTAGGAAATAGGCTATATATATATATATATATATATATATATATATATATATATATATATATATATATATATATATATATATATATATATATATATATATATAATGTTCATCAATACAAGGCCCAAAAGACATTCGAGGTAGAAGGTTACAGAGTAAGTGGTAAGATTTTATGGCAATATGTTAGGAAGATAAAGGTTGACCCTAGACTTCAACAGGTTAAGATTGTAGTAGGTACCTCGAAAAATGTTCTAAAAAAAGAGCCTACCATGATGGAAAATGGCCCGAAACTTGATAAAAACAAAGCTATATCATCAAAATTTTTGCTATTATTAAAAAGAAATTACTCCTATCTAGCACATTCGAAATTTTGGTTAAAATTCTTGTTTTTCTTGCGTCAGTGGTTGAGCAAATGATTAATATAGGGATTTTTAGCGGGTTATTTTGGCTTTTTTTTTTTTGTGTGTGTGTTTGTTTGTTTTTTTGTTGGCCGTAAAAACAACATTATTTGATAGCTATTGCAAAAATCAAATTATTGTTGAATATTAGCGAAATTTTCAGGACTTCACAAATCAATTAAATTACTTTTTAAAATTTGTTGTTTTAGAAAATGTTGGTAAAAATGTTTTATTTTACATCTGTTACACCCGCTAACGTAATTTTATGAAATTTCGAGAAATTAAAATGTCAGGCTCCTCATATATTAGTTAAAAGGAGGACTCGTTGGAGAATTTAAATCATTAATTTGTTTTTGTCAAACAGAAACGCTTTACAGACACCAGGGAAAGAGAAAGGACTTGTGAAAAATTTAAGACATGTTAACCTGTTCTTAATTAATTTGAACAATATTATCCAACATCATCCTTGATATAATTAAAACATAATTATGTTTCTAGGTGTAGATCAATAGGGTAATGACTGGATTCCAAAATTTAATTCACCATTGATGTCGATTGAGACAATCTCCTTTAGAACTCAAGTAATTCTGATGTATATGATTTATTGCAAAAGATTAGGAGAAAAATAGGAAAAGACAGCTTCGCCTATCTTCCGTTTCACATCCCGATTCAGTATTTTGAACAGGAGTTATTTCCTGTTTAGCATTGGGTTTGCAGTTGATGTTGATTCTAGCACTCAACTGGCTCTGCAGTTGCTGCAGTCTTCATGCAGCAAATAAAATCTGGACGTTAATTCGCGTCCTCCTGCGAATGATTCAAAATTTTTTGTTAAAATTTGTTTGTTTTTTTTATTTAATAATTACTGGCTAAAATATTAGAATTAATTAATAATAATTTGTATCATTTAAATCCATAAGTTCGAAAGTTGACGAAATAAAATATTTAATAAATTAATAAAAAAAATAAAATTTCAATTATTTGAATTTAAATTTGATTTCAAAAAAGTATCAAGGGGATAACTCAAAAATCTCTCTCTCTCTCTTCTCTCTCTCTCTCTCTCTCTCTCTCTCTCTCTCTATCTGTATATATATATATATATATATATATATATATATATTCATTCTACTGCCCTATTCTTTAATAAGTTATCTCGAATATTCAGGTAGATAAATATGTATATATATATATATATATATATATATATATATTCGAGGTAGAAGGTTACAGAGTAAGTAGTAAGCGTTTATGTCGATACGTTAGGAAGATAAAAGTTGACTTGATCAAATTAAGATTGCAGTAGGTACCTCGAAAAATGTTCTAAAAAAAAGAGCCTACCATGATTGAGTTTGCGGTTACTTCTAAAGTTTTCTCTTTCTCTTTCTTTCCAAGTAGCTTCTTGTGTCTTAGTGTCATTATCGCCTTGCTTGGGGTGAATTGATTTTTTTAAAAATACGGTTCCTTGATATTTTACGCTCATAAGACACTACATAGTAACGTTCTGTGTAAGCTCTAGGGCCTTGTATAGGGTGAATGTTAGTATAAAATAATACCTTGCGTCTAAACAACTCGTGTTTTTAAATTTTATTCACTTATTCAATTATAGGAAAAAATATTTTTCCAATGAAAAAAAAATCATTTTTTTATTAATATCTAAGGCACATGACTAAATGTATAGTCTTTTGTAGTGAAAATACTACTACAATTGCTTTCGGCGATTTTTTCGTGATTTTTGAGATGAAGTTTTTGTGCGGTTAAGATTTTTATAACTTGTGCCAAAAGTAAGCGCCTACGCACATCAAATTGTTTTTAAATTGAGTGGCAGCAGAATAATTATCGTTGAAACTTTGAAAGGCAGGTTTAAATATTAATGCAATGCTTATTTATATATCAGGAACAATATTGGGGGAAATGTATGACAGAGAAGAAAAAGTTTTCTTGTGACGCTTTTCGTCCTTTAGGATATCATCGGACTGAATTTGCTATGTTGGTGCGACTACGCATGCGCACAAATGAAGGATGCTGGAAATTTTTCATTTTAAATTATTTTTATCTAGGCGATTTCATTTCGATTCTTTTTCTTTTTATCACTTTTGTTAGAAGAAATCGCACATTGTGATAATAGAAGAATTGTGAATTGTAAGAGGTCAAATTGTAAAAGGTCAAATTGTAAAGGATCAAATTGTAAGAGATCAAATTGTAAGGGGTCAAATTGTACGAAGTCAAATTGTAAGGGGTCAAATTCTAAGAGGTGAAATTGTAACGGGTCAAATTGTAAGAGGTCAAATTGTAAGGGGACAAATTGTAAGAGGTCAAATTTACTGTATATGACCTTGCGATCAAAGTACTCGCTAAATATTTTCCTCGTAGTAAATTATTTTCTCCTTTGATCAGTGTAGAGACTCAACATAAAATATGTTACTACTACATGTAAAACAATAAAAAACTTCAAGTCAATACTAAACGAAACAATAATCTAAAACTAAAATTTACTCGATCGCCTGTAATATTTGTCACAAAAAATACATAGGAGAAACCTCAAGGAATCTAAATAAAAGATTATATGAACACAAAAGGGACATTTTACAAAATAATACATTAAATGTCTACGTTGCCCATCGTAACAAGACTGACCACAATTTTGACATACAAAATGCTACTCTGATCAAAGTAAAAAATAATTAGCTACGACATTTCACCATTCCAAACAGAACTTCTATTATCACAGTGCGGGACATCTAATAACAAAAGAAACGAAATGAAATCGTCGAGATTTAAAAAAAAATGTAAAATTTTAATTTCCCAGCATCCTTCTTCTTCCTAAGTGACGAAACGCGTCACAAGAAAACATTTTCCTCTCTGTCATATATATATATATATATATATATATATATATATATATATATATATATATATATTAGTTTAAATTCGAGAGACTGGCCTAAATTCCTTAGTAGGCGCTAATCCTGGTGACAAAGTGTAG